GTTCGCTCCTGGCGTCACGCCTGGACCCCGACCATCCTTCGCTCGGGGACATTAGTCGCATTTGCACTTCTCTTCGCCGCGATGATCGTGGTCGTCGAGGTCTTGTCTTCGGTCTCGGCCCGGAATCAAGGTATCAGTACCAGCGACAGCAAGTACCATTATCTCTGGACGTATGGTCCGACAGCCGGTAGGTGCTTTCCTCTGGCCGTTTTCGTGCACCGAGTAGAAAGTCAGTGCTAAGATAGGTGGTGTGGGAAAAGCCCTGACGGTCGTCGCCGCACTATGGGGCCAGGTCGAGTACCGCACCAAGCAACTCATGCCCTGGCGGGTGATGGCATACTCCGGCCCCCAACCGGCCTCGCGATCCCTCCTGCTGGATTATGTCTCGGAGTGGAACGTGATCGCGCTCTTTCGGGCGATGCGTCACGGCGATTGGGCGGTGGTACTGGCGATTTTGGGCACCTTGCTGATCAAACTTCTCACGGTCGCTTCGACGGGTTTGTTCATGCTGCAGAGTGTCTGGATGGAGCATGCGGCTGCTGAGCTTCGCCTTCAAGCTCGCTTCGATGGGCGGGGGTACGATGGGAGTCTGGTGGATGGGAGTGCTGCAACTGTCGTGGCTGGAGCCCGCTGGCAGGAGTTGCCCTACCCTGTCGGTACGACGGAGGAATACGCCTTTCAGCCTTTCACGGCGAGTATACGTACTCGTAACGACGGGGTGATCTTCGGAACGGTAGATGTTTTCTCGGCGGATTTGAACTGCCAGGCTGGAACCGTCGCCAACTGGACTGAGGGCTGCACTTCGTCCGGGTGCGAGCAAACTCGACTGAATATCACCCTCAGCACCGGTGCCTCGTCCTGCGCAGGTGGGTATCGTTTCCCCAGCTTTCAAAAAAGCTACTCCTCTGCTGGGGGCTATTACGCAGACGTGTTTTCGGTTAGCTGTGTTGGTGGGGAAGATGATCCTCGCGTGGTTGTCGCTGCAGCGCACTGGACCGCCAACAAGACCGAAATCCACGGCTTGGTTTGCAGCCCCTCGTACTCCATTGCACCACGCTCAGTCTCGCTACGCCAGAGTAACCACAGTGTGATCAGTATTGGAACAACCCAAAGTTCGAACCACACCACCCAAAGAGTCCTTGCAGACGTGTCGCCAGCAGATCTAGGGGTGGGGTTTGTGTCTTCGTTGACCGCCGCAGCCGATGTCCTGGACACGCTGGGCTATGTCGATACCTCGACCAAAGGCTGGAAGTCTGCGAAATACAACCTGTCAGACCCGAATAGTACTTACCCCAGTGCATTCGCGATCATCGCGAATCTGACGTCGCCGCACCCCATGCGCGATTTGCTCAATACCTCGCTCTTGGAGAGTGTAGCCCGACCCATGTTTGCGGCAATCTCGGCTCAGGTGGCAAAGCAGTATCTCCTCTCCCCGTCAAATACGTCCTTCGCGGGTACATATTCGGCGTACGTCAACCGACTGCTAGTGAAAGAGCTTTCTGTTCGACTGATGGAGGCGACATTAGCTGTTCTGATTGTCGTCGCTGGAGCGTTGTGCTTCTTACGACCGGTTCGCTGCACGCCTCGAGATCCAGGGACGATCTCTGGGCTGGCGAGCATTCTGGCGCGGAGCCCTGCGGTGGAGGAGCGACTGGTACGGAGTAAGAATGGGACGGAAATTGCGGAGGAGTTGAATGGTCGTCGCTACTACACGCAAATCACCACCGAACACAATTGTCTGGGCTTTACTATCGCAACGGACCAGACGGCTAGTGAGAGTATGCGGACTCGAATCACCTCTGGGCCTATGAGTTGGTGGGAGCCGATGTCCGTCTCCGTCTCCTGGCGGGTAATTACAGTCGTCTTGCCTCTGCTTGTCATCGCTGGGCTCGAAACAACGTACCAGATCTCGTCTCGGCATAACGGGCTGGGCACTGTGTCCGGGGAATACATTCGGTATACTTGGGTGTACATCCCCGCGGTGATCATGCTGCTAGTGCGCATCTTCTTCGACTCGATTCACTTTTCGGCTCTCGTGCTGCAGCCTTACCTGGACCTGCGACGCGGGGGAGTCACTGCACCACGAAGCATCATGGAGAATCACCTGTCCAGCCCGACGCTCGTCTCATTGGTCAAGGCCATCCTACGACGACAAGGTGCCGTAGGGGCTACGGCAGTCGCCGTGCTACTGGCTCCAATTCTCACAGTGGCCGTCAGCGGACTATACCTCACCCAGGAGATGGAGCACTCCCAGGCGGTCTCCATCGCTCGCGTCGACAGCTTCAACACAACCATTGACCCGCATTACTCCACCTCCAGCAATGCAGGCGTGGGACTAACAGGGGCCCTGGTCGTTGCAGATAATCTCTCCTATCCTGCTTGGACGTACGAGGAACTGGTGTTGCCGACTCTCAGTGAAGCGTCTCTCACCAGCAAGCAGGGCTCTGTCCAGTACCGCTCCGCCAACGGAAGCGTGGACCATTCTTCTGTGCTGCAGATGACGCTCCCTGCTCTACGAGCCCGTCTCGAATGCCAGATCCTCGCCGAGGACACAGTGTACAGGGTTGAGAAACCCAGCGCGCTCCTTCCCGCCTGGGACCTCTATCTAAACCTGGATCCCAACTGCAGCCAGAATATGTCGACTAGCTTCGCAGTCAGCACTGACTATCCAAACACGAACAACACCTCATTCGGCTCGTTGAAGTACATGAACCCGAACGTGGCGCTGGGCAATTGTCCGACGCTGATGGGGTGGTACGGCGTACTGACGGCGAACTCCACGAAGGGATTGCAAGGGTTCACCTGCGATCCCTACATTGACCAGGTGGATGCCGCCGTCACATTCACCCTTCCGGGTCTCCAAATCACCGGCGCGACAGCGAACGAGTCGACCCGCCGACTCTTCAGTGCCGAGTTTTCGTCGAACCTGCTGTTCCCCAATTACCTTCCGCAGGCGACCAACGACGAGAATCAGGCGTTCGACGAGTTTTTCTCAGCCATGATCCACGATCAGAAGACCCTCGCGGTGGATGATCTTACCGCCGCCGGCGATTCCTTGCACTATCCCGCCGTGATCAACGCAACCCAGCACCTTTACCGCGTCCTCATGGCGCAAGGGCTCAACGGCAATTCGCGGATCTCCTCCACCAATGCAACAGCAAAACAATACTATCCGGGAACGCTCATCCAGCCCAATCGCGTCCGGCTCATGCAGAACGGTCCGTCGACGCGGATCCTCGAGGGCTGTCTGGCTGCGATGGCGCTCGCGGTCCTGGTCGCGTGCTACTTCCTGCAGACCAAGGAGGTCATCCCCGTGAATCCGTGCAGTATTGCGGGAGCGGCTTCGCTGCTGGCTGGGTCAGATCTGGTCAGGTCGGATGTGCTCCCGGCCGGGTCGGAGTGGTGCGGTGATCGGGAGTTGTTGAGACGGGGGGTCTTTGCGGGGTGGGTGTTTGGATTGGGGTGGTGGGATGGGGGGCGGTTTGGGGTTGATGTTGGGCGGGCGGAGTGAATGTTTTGTTGCCCTGCTAGGTGTGCAGCTGTTCTTGTCTCTACCATCGCCCACTACGTCCCCAGCAACAATACCAATAAGCATGATTGTTCATCACCTCCACCTGCAGCATCCCAATCAAAGAGACAAACATACATCAGAGTCAGCTCTTGTACCACCCAAGCCTCACATTCACTGCCAACACTCTTCGCCCAGCCTCTTTAATCGTGCTCCCTAGGATGCGTGGTACTGTTTCCATGTCCTGGCTGTTTATGGTTCTTCGGATCTGTCGATGTTCGCTGTCCGATACTCAAGCAATCTCAGACCATATGTGGAGCCTTTGAACGGGGCGCAGACATGGTGTCAATGAAGTCGTCACGGATCCGGGCCAGCTGATCATGACAAAGGCATTCATACCAAGTTGGCTAGCTCCCTTGCGCAAGCAATTACTGAGATATCCCAGAGCCTAGCGGGTGACATGGACTTCATTGCGGATGAAGACGCCAATCAGTGGACCTGGGAGGTGTGGATTCAGGTGGACAAGGGGGTACCTGAGCCTCCTGAGCCTCTTCAGCTAAGGCTGAAGAAAAACGAGATGTGGGAGGCGAACGAGCAGGAGCTGGGAGCTGTAATCTCGTTGTTGCTGTCGGGCATCGACAAAAAGAATGCTCGAGTCCCCAAAGATCAGCAGATTGATCCTTGGCCCCAGCTCCGAGACAGTACCTTGGGGAAGGTATAGCGACGCGGGGATCTACCAACTTCCGCCGGAAGACTCGTCCGAGGGCCTCAGTATCACGGTGGGCAGAGAGATGCTTCTCGGAGTTGACGATGCCATCACTAAAGCCATAACGGAGGAAGCAAACGATGCAGCGGTCACGTTCAGAGCTAGGAGGATCGGCGCCCAAGACCAGCCCAATGGCCGCTCCCGTGCTATGATAGCCCGGATTGCCAAACTCTCGGCGGGCCAGCTCTATTCGCAGCATATCTTTGTTTGTTTCATGTGGGCCGTCGCCAAAGCCCTCCGGGGAAGGGGGCCCGGTTTGAGGTCAGAACCTGCCTTGGAAACGTTGTCTCGCAAGATCGAATTCACCGGGCTTGGCGACTTCAATTTCGCCAGATTGGCTATCACAGTACCACTGTTTTATTATCGGCTACTCCCGAGGTAGTTGACCTACTAAGCTGCTTGAGGAATGGTGGTTAGGCTACGCGTGCTGAGCCCTGGACGTGGGTGTTGAACGAGCTCGTCATATCCGATCATGATTGCCCGGAGGCCGTCTCATGTTTTTCTTTTTTCCAAATGCCAGATCGCCACACTACCACCCACGATCCCTTTCACTCAATTCTTACGTGACCGAACGCAAGCCTGTTATAACACCGTGAGCCTCAGACTCAGTGCTGCCTCGCGAGGATGGTAGTACACCGAGTCTGGACTTCAACCATGTCAACGCTCTCCAGAGATAATACCTTGAGGGTGGTAGTCTTGAAATCGATTGAATCACTGCCGAACACCCTCGGATGAGCATCGCTCAGAGGGCGAAACCTAAGGCCCGACTCTGAGTCCCAAGATATCTCAGAAAAAGCCAGCATAACATGCACCCACGCCTCCTTCCGCCCTCCCACAGGACCAACACCACCGCCCGCATTCACTTCCTCTTCTTCCTCGACCCAAACGTCCGCTTCTTCAGCCCCACCCAAGTCTCCCCTTCCGGATACAGCCCATACTCCCCGACCAGCCTGGCAAACTGCTCGTCCTTCCCCAACACCTTCAGGTCAATCTGCAGCAGCCGCGCGATGATGGGCGCGAGGTCATGCGCCGCGGAGACCCGGAGCTCATCCGCCCCCTCCACCGGCCGCTTCTTGCGGTGGAGCCGCTCGAGCTTCTCGCGGACCCGCTCCTCGATCAGCTGCTCCACCGTCCGGCCCCCGGGGCCCCCGACGGTGCGCTTGATCCGCTGCGCCTCGTCCCAGGTGAAGTAGGGCTTGCCGATGTAGTGCGGGTCGGCCGTCTTGCCCAGCCGCTTTGACGAGGCGGGATGGTTGACGTTGCACAGGTCGTGCAGGAGGACGTGGATGCGGTACCACAGGGTTGGGGAGGTGGTGGTTCCGTGCTTTAGGTCGGAGAGGGTGGGTTGGGGTGGGGGAGGGGGAGGGGGAGGCGCAAGGGATTGGGACGAGGGGCAGGGGCTAGTGACCTCCGGGTGGTGGGAGGTACTAGCCATGGTGGATGACGGCGAAGTGAGATTGAGGTGCTTTGTTAAAGGGCATCGAGGCTGGGTTTTGTTTTGGTTCTCGGTGGGAGGGAGAGGGGTAGGACCACAGAGGAGGAGGGCGCGGAGGTCTGATCCGTGCGGCTGGCTTCATGGTGACGCATGTTGGTGCCGATGACATCTTGGGTTTGGAGTCTGGTTTGAGATGGGGGGAAGTGTTGGGGGTTCGCTGAAGCGGAACATTGTCCGGGTTCTTATGCTGGTATTACTGCAGCGATAAAGCCTGTCGGCAGATCCTCATTCATGGAGAGGCGCAGATTGTGAGGATTCTCATCTGAGGTGTTGTGGGAACGTGTTTTGGGATCTCAGGATCTGTTGTTCGAGGGAGTAAAAGGTGTATGTACTGGACAGGTAGAACAGAGTCCCAGGAGTTAGTTCTTGTTCTCGACAGTCCAGGCAGCATGAGGTTAAACTCGGCTGATAGCAATGAACAGATAGAGGCATTAGAGCATGTAAGCCAAGAAGGTGTCCTTGGGACGAGAGCGATGTCTCTTAATGTCTAGGTTGTGCTTTCCCAGGGACACTTTGAACTCGGGGTTTGGGTAGTGATGACCTGTGCTATCATAGTGCTCAGACTCAATAATCAGCTTGTCTTCCGCCCCGTTCGTTTTTCCAGCCTGTGAAGTGCTTCAAAATCTAGACTCTGCTATCTTGCAAGCCACGGCTTCGTGTCGGGACTCGATTACTCCTTCGGGGAGTCGGAGAGTGGATGAGGATCATATCGTAAAGAGCAACTTCTACGTAGAAAATGTATCCGTTCTATGTCCAAATCTAACATTCTTCCTAGACGAAGGTCTTTGTGCTCTATAAAATGTTTGCTTGCGCGTATGCGGGCGATCAATAGCGGGATGCAGGCGCTGCATTAGGGCTCAGCTCGAGGCCGATCGGCGGGATCCAGACAAAGACCTCGTGCCAACATCCTGGTTCCTGCAGTGCCAACACCCTGAGTAGGGATACTTTAGGTCAATCCTTATCTCGATGGGGATGATTGATTCAGCCAAGCGAAGCCCGGCAATCGACCATTGACAGCCACTTTGGATAGACTACAAGCCATCACGGATTGTGGTCCATACCAAGAAAGGACGGGATACAAGGATTCATGATCGAGTACTCCTCCTTAATGTGAATACCAAATCTATCTTCTAGCCTTTACCCATCACTCACTCGCCGTCCCTTGCAAGCACTTTTCGCCAATCGCACCCAACCTTTCTTCGAGGGTCAGGAGCATCTACGCTTACCTGGAATCCTGGATAGACTCTTATCGGTCTGAGCCTAGATAAGAGTTTTCCGATCGATAAGGGCCCGTCAGCGAAGGAATCTAGATCGTGGAGTTGGGTTTCGCTCTACCCTCACTAACTGTCAGCTTTGTGCCGATCACCGTGATGGATCAACATATTCGATGAAGTGACTCTTTGTGACGGGCAATAGTGCCTGTTTAGCGGCAGCTAGTCAGCTAAAGTCTGGTTCTTTCGATCACTACATCCAGAATCCCGAATATCTTCATGATCGCCCTCGATGGCCGGGACCGGGTATATATATCGCCCCCCCCAAGCGAGTGTCTATCACCTTCATCATCCCGGATCAAGCAGGTCAACCATTCTTTTCCTTCCTTTTCTTCTGTCCTTGCTCTTCTCCTTGAGTTTGTCAACCCGTCGTTCTCTTGCCCTTGTTGACTACACGTTAGACACTCTTTCCAAAATGAAGGCCTCTTTCTGGACGGCCCTCGTCGTGGCCGCCTGCACGGTGGCGAGCCCTGTGGGCCAACCTTACGCTCGCGACGGGGAATGCACCTGCCAGCCCAATGGCGGTGATGGCTCTGGCTCTGCGCCCCCGCAGCCTGTCCCCGAGTCCGAGTCTCCTGCTCCTTCAGCGTCTCTGTCCCCTGGAGGCTCTGCTTCAGGTGTTCCTTCTTTCCCCGGCAATCCGGCCCCGGCTTCCTCCCAGCCTGTCACTCTTCCAGGCTTCCGGCCCGCACCCTCCGCTACTGTGCCGGTGGTATTCTCTACTCCGAATGCTCAGCCTTCTGGAGAGTCTTCCGGTCTACCTGAATCCCCGGGCTCTTCTGATCCGTCCGGTCCTTCTGCTCCTGGAAGCTCCCCGGGTGCACCCGGCGGTTCGCAGCCATCTGGAATCGTTCCCTCCGGACCTGGCTCCTCGACTCCCAGCTCGACTCCCGGCCCGACCCCGTCGGGATCTTCGTCATGTGATACCGGTCACTGCCACGGCACCGGCCATCTGATCCAGGATCTGGGTCCTCAGGCCGATCGCCTGCTGAAAGTCGTAGGCAGCGGCACGGAAGAATTGCTCATCCAGCTGAGCGACCCGGTTGCTGACCTGCTGGCCGGACTCGGCTTGGTAGGCCTGTCCCAGCCCGTGGGAAACATCCTCAGAAGCGCCTCCAGCATCGGTGAGCTGGTGTCGAACCTAGGCCAGCCTGTGGACAATCTGTGCATCGTGACGGGCAAGGGGCTCGGTTTCGTTTTGATCGAATTGGACCACCCAGTCGCTGATCTCCTTCGCGGGCTCGGCCTTGACGCCCTCGCTCAGCCGGTGGGGAACATCCTGAGCGATCTTGGCAGCAGCCTCAAGCGTCGGACTGAGGTCTCGAAGCCGGCCGGATTGCTCGAGGAACTGGCACCCGTGGTGGATTGCATCCTTCAAATCACCGGGGAAGACCTCAAACCACTGTTGATCCGCCTGAGCAACCCCGTGGCCCAGCTCCTCATCAACCTGGGCTTGAACGCGGCTGGGCGCAGCGTGGGCCAAGTGATCCGGTCGGCGGCGTCAGTTGGCGATCTGATTGCCGACTTGGGGCCGGTGGTGGATTGCCTGCTCACGGTGGTGGGTGAGGACGGTGGCCTCTTGCTGATCCAGCTGGATCCCGATGTTGCAGCCTTGGTGTCTGGCCTGGGATTGCCGGCTGTCGGAGTGCCGGTGGGTGAGATTGTCGGGGAGCTGGGCAATGCTTTCTAAAGATAAAAGATGGGCGATCACTTATGCCACCTCCCCACATTCACTTTTTGTATTACCTACAGTTGACTCTGACCGATGTACCGAGATACATGTAACTAATACTAATAGCAACCATATTAATACCTAATGTCACGAGTCCAATACCGTCGGCCATTAGTAATCGCATGGATTTCCGGTGTCCGCGTCACTGGGAGGATAATCTCATCCCCGGGAGTAAACTGAATCGCCCCACGGGGCACAGTTACCGATATGTGGGGAAATCATGAACCATCTGCCCCAAAACTGGGGGGAAGACGAAGCCAGTCACCGCAGAGGAAAGCCGCATTAGAATTCGCCTCTGCGGGCTGGCCGGAAGGCAAAAAGGCGCAGGTCGAGGGCCCCGTTGGATGGAATGTGGGAAATCGTGGGGTGGAAAAGCATTGCGGGTAAGTTTTACTCCGCGTTTTCCTGGCCGATTGCCGGCGGCCATCCCATATTTAAATCCCAGTATATCCTCTTCCAAGAATTGATCCTTTGCAACTGTTTCACTCGTCTAAGAACCATCTCCTCTCCTCTCCTCTCTTCTTTACGATTGTTCTATCTCTCCTCTCACACAATGGCTCAGTCCCCGCAAGATCTGAAGGTGGCCATTCTGGGCGCAGGTATGCCGTGGTCCCGCATTCCCTTCAGCCCTATCTTTTTTTTTTTTTTTTTTTTTCTGGAAAGCAAAAACTAACTTCAAAATCAGGTATGGGTGGCCTCACCTGCGCTCTGGCCTTGGCCCGTGAGGGCTTTAAGAATATCGACGTTTATGAGACGGCTCATGACCTGGGCTTTGTTGGAGCTGGTATCCAACTTGCCCCCAACATGGCCCGCGTCCTCGACCGTTTGGGTGTCTGGAAGCAGATCGAGGCCGAGGCTGTCAACATTGTTGAGACCAGCGTCCGGGGTATGTTTTATTTCTGTTCAGTGGATGAGTGATTGACTGACCCATCCTTGCAGTTGGAGCGACGGATGCGGAATTGGCCCACGTGCCGCTGGAATACATTGCGGATACCTACGGCTACCCGCACATGGTTGGACACCGGTCCTCCCTCGCCAACGGCCTCTACCAGGGCTGTCTTCGCCACCCCGACGCCATTCGCTTCCACTTTGCTACCACCGCCCAAGATGTCACCTTCGGCCCCAAGCCTTCCTTCCAGGCCGTTCCTCGTGACAGCGCCCAGGAGCCCTACCGCGTCGAGGCCGACGTCCTCCTCGGCGCCGACGGCATCAAGTCCAACACCCGTGTTGCCATGCTCGACTTGCTCGGCATCCAGGCCGGCGTCAAGGACACCAACCAGGCCGCGTACCGTATCATGATCCACAAGGACCAGGTCAAGGACGACCCGGAGCTGCTGGCCCTGATCAGCGGCAACAAGGTCACCCGCTGGATCGGCGAGAAGCGCCACATCATCGCCTACCCGGTCTCCAACAACACCATCTACAACCTGTCGACCACGCAGCCGGACATCAACTTCGCCGCGGCCACCAACGCCACCTATACCACCCGCGGCGACAAGTCGGTCATGCTGCAGGTGTTCGGCGACTTCTGCCCCATGGTGCAGCGCATGCTCGGCTACGTGCCCGAGGGCGAGGTCTGCGAGTGGAAGCTGCGCGTCCACGAGCCGCTGCCCACCTGGGTGCACGAGTCGGTCGCCCTCGTCGGCGACTCCTGCCACCCGACCCTGCCGCACCTGGCCCAGGGCGCCGCGCAGGCGATCGAGGACGGCGCCGTCATCGGCAAGGTCCTGGCCCAGCTGCCCGACACCAGCCCGGCCTCGATCCACAAGGCCCTCAAGGTCTACGAGAAGATCCGCAAGGACCGCGCCTACGCCCTCGTCGAGCTGGCCGCCGCCTCCGGCCGCGCCCTGCACCTGGGCGACGGCGCCGCCAAGGAGGAGCGCGACAAGCAGTTCGCCGCCCTCCGCGCGGGCAAGGGCCCCGTCCCCGACAAGTGG